AGCGGTTGAAGTTGAGGAACGAGGGAATAGACAACTAATTTCAAATGTCCCAATTTTAGTTCTGGTAAATCTGAATTGGTAAGCAGTACGATAAATATTTTGTTTACTTATATGTGGTTGGCTTTGGCCAAGGTATGGGTAATGAAATATATTAACAGGAATCATTGCTAAATTACGATGGTCTCATTATTTCAGATCCACCTCTGTGAGGTGGAGGGCTTCCCGGACTCTGTGGATGTCCTCAGGCACAGCGAATGCAAGCTCGTAGCAGTAAAGTCATTGAGACCTGGCGCGTCTCAATCTGCAAGGTAAAGTATCTGTCTGGGAGATTTAATTTGTATTTCTCATAACATGGACGGGGCGTAACGCTGACAACTGACACCCATCTAGTGGCGAAGTCAAGAATGAGTAGGAGCTATACTTCACTCCCCCCAAGCGCCTACATGGCGTATAGTGGGACAGATTTACTTTTTACGACGCTAATAACGGAATCTTATTCCACCTTTCTGCTTTACATTAAATTGTAAGCGAAAAAGAAAAGGAATACGGGATTTTACGTAAATCTGCTGTGTTTCAGGTCAGACTTTCAGCAAGAAGCTCGCTTGCTGGCAAGGCTACGAGATCCAAATATCGTGAGAGTGCTCGGAGCCAGCCTAGATGACGAGCCTTTGTGTGTCGTGGTGGAGTATATGGAGTGTGGGGACCTGAACCAGTTCCTGCAGGAACACATAGCAGAGACGGCGTCGCCACTGCCTCGGAATGCCAAGACACTCAGGTATCGGCAGATAAATTATAAAATACTGGATGAAATTTAAAATTTATAGCAATTTAACACAATTTAATTCCCCGTTGTTAGTAACCTTCAAATTCTGTTATTTTTTCGGGGTGTTTGTTCACATGTCCAGCCTTGTAAATTTTACAGGTATTATTTATATTCGTATGAAATAATGAAAGTGTTAGAATTAAATTTATTAAGATTTTGCGTAATTTAAAATTTGTCAAAAATAAGGTTATGTTCTCTCGAACGCATTGCTCGTACGTAAAAAATTATACTACGCAGTTTCGTCAGACATAATTTGATGTCTCAGAAACAAATCGGCGTGAAGTCATGAAATATATCGCAGAAGAAATGGAAATTTATTACAGAATATATTAAATGTTTCGTTATGAAGGTATCTTCAGACGAAATTCTGACTTACACTGATTGAATTTTGAAGCATTCAATTAATGATTTTAATATTGAATATATAAATGGAAATCATAATATGTGTGTTCTGTTTTACAGTTACGGCTGCCTTATTTTTATGGCGACGCAAATTTCTTCGGGAATGAAATACCTGGAGTCATTAAATTTTGTTCACAGAGATCTGGCAACGAGGCAAGTCTTTAGTTTTTAAGTCCCTTATACTAGTCAGACTTCAATGAACATTACGATATATAAATTAAGTCATTTAAATAAATTCATTTTATTTGTACTTCTTATGTGCAATTGTCTTTTCTTGTGTTTCTCTTAAGTTTTGCTGTGGTCGGGTACTAATTTTTTTTACACAGTGGTCTAATAAATTACCCTTTAACTTTGGTAAATATTGAAGTGCGCGGAGGTTATTTCATTTCTATCTGGTATGTTTCCGTGTCTGACGCAAACTACGCTTGTTTGCAGGAACTGTCTGGTGGGCAGAGGATACGGCATCAAAGTATCTGACTTTGGTATGAGTCGCAGTCTGTACTCAGCTGACTATTACAGTATGGAGGGCAGAGCGCTTCTTCCAGTACGCTGGATGGCTTGGGAAAGTGTGCTGTTGGTATGCCTTATTTAGATTTTGTATATTGCATTCCTACCGCTAAATGAAATATGTTAGCAGAAGATGACCATTATCATTA